TGTCGGACTTGCCGAGTGTCATCAATGCCAGTTTTCCTGCAATGCTCAGCTACGCTGACCCAGATTATTGGCTGGGTGCACTTCTGCTCGCATTCGAGTCCCACCAAAAAGGTCCCCTGGAGCGAACGGCCGGGCTGCCCATTGTTCTCGGTTTTCCTGAATCTGACAATAAAATTACTGACCTGCAGATCAATGTGCCGCCCGCAGCCATGGTGGCCTTCTTAGCTGGCCGCGCTTATCGGTGTCCCAAGTGCCCTACTACCAAATATGTGATGGACGCGCACAGTGGACTGCCACAAGTCACTGGCCAAGCCTCCCAAGAAGCCCTGCAGGCATGGGCCGCAGCTGCTCAGCACACGGACGTGGAAAAGGCCAGGCTTGCCCAGCCCAACCTGAATACGTTCCTAGGCATCACGCTGCAGGGCACAGAGACACTTGGGCAAAGGCACTATCAAGAATTTAGGCCGGATCACCCCCCTGCCCATTTCCTTGACGCCATCCGGCTTGCCCTTGCGGCCTCGGTGGCCAACCAAAACATTGAACACTTTTGGTCAGTTTATAACTTGGAATGGCCTGACACCTCTCACAGAATGGCTGTTTTTCTGCGGCGAGTGTTGCCCCTAGAGTGCTTGCTTTCCTCGCCTTTGGCTGCGCCGGTGGAAGTGAACACTGCGGCAGCCTCGCCGGCGGTCGTCAGCATCTCTTCCGAAACCAACGAAGGCTCTCCCTGCCCGATGGATGACATGTCGGATGCGGAGGACGAACCCGAGGCACAGGTGAATGATTGGCGCTTCTCGGAGCTGCGAACCACTGACCTTGCAGCTTTGCGAGAAGTGGATGTCTCAGCCCCTTTCCGACTGCCAGTCATCTTCGAAGCGCATTGGAAAGGGATCAGCACCACACCCACCAAGCATGGGCCAAAACGTCCCCGAAATGAGTGGTATGATGCAGCCACTGCTCACTGGGCTGCCATTAAGGGGCTCATGCGAGCTAAGCATCCAACCAAGCAGCGACTCAACAGCTTCTGGTTTAAGATGTACTGCCATGGCACCTCCAAGGACCCTGATCCTTCGGCCCTACGTGCGGCAGTTACATCCTTCCCCTTTCAGTATAAGGACGAAGGTGTTGTGCAGTACAGGCAAATCCAGGAAGCTGTCCGGGTGATGTGGCTCGCGGCCCAAACCTCAATGACAAGATACAAAGGTATCCCCATTCCGGACGGCATCCCTGAGTGGGGGGTTGATGAGCAAGAGCTGCCTCCAATGCAGGCCATGCCCAGCCGTACGCGTTCCCATACCACCTCAGATGGCCATCGCTCCCGGCGTCCGGACTGGGATGGCCCCTGGCAATAGACAGCAAATTGTCATCTGAGGGCTCCTACTGACGCCACGCGAACGGGCCTTTGAGTCCCTCCATGGCATGCTGCCTAGCGTGATGTGAGCCCTCACATCTCCTCGCCGATACATGCCGCAAGACTACCTCGGGATATTCTTGGTTTGGCAACCCTCTCGTGGTCTATGTCACGGATTGGACCGTGCTTGTCTTCTGTGTGCTCACAGCCTGTTGCTGTGAACACCCGTCTTTGTCGGCCCCGCGGTGTGCCTATGGTGACGGGGGGCCTTTCTCTTGTGGTTGCTCCACTGGCCATCTGCGCGGACTGCCCTGGACCGGTCCTGCCTGGATGTTCCAGCTCTGTCATCGGTGCAACGGCCAATCGTCCTTTCCTCTGCCCCCTCTAGGGATGGCTCTCTGGTAAGGCTGCCCAGTCTTCCTCTCCTCTGCCCCTCTTTGACCGGGTAGGTGGCCGTTTCTGTGCTATGGCACTGCAAGAACCCCTCGGCTTTGAGACCCAGCTGTGGCCCACACTTGTTGCCCCATCGCTATCGTGGGACGAGACGACACTTGGATCACAGTGAGTCCTGGCAATGCGACCCTCCCCTTTGTGGTATCTCGGCCGAATGACGACTCTGGAGAGGCCAATGCGGTGGTGCTGCTTCTCCCAGGTATTGGGCACTTCTACGTAGAGAATATGCACCCATTGCCCTTGCAAGGAGCCGGTTGCACCTGTGGAGCAACCTGGCCTTCAAAAAGGCCGTCACTGCCTGCGCATGGCCTGTGGCGGGACAAGCAGGCTCACCGCCTGCCTGGATGTTGCCTGACGGTGCTGACTGGACCAAGGCAGTGTATACAATGGAAGTTCTACCGCTCCTGTTGGCCGTCCAACGTGATGCGAGCCCTCGCATCTCCTCACCGACGTCTGTCGGTTTGGGCTTGGACGAGCTGATTCTGGGTATTGAACCCTCAACCCTCACCGGCCAAGGAAATAGTTGCTTGGCCTTGAGTGCGAAGTTTCGACTGGGGGACTCTCCCGCTTCCTGCGGGGCAGGTGGGGTCCCCGCCTGCTTGGGTTTACCTGATGGCTCTGATTGGAACGAAGCAGTCCAGCCTGCTTTGGCCGGCGGACGAGCTCTTGTGAGTCAACAGAACGTTGCGCTTGTGCTCGGAGAGGCTCCACTGGCTGACCACCATGGAGTACTCTGGGCTGGTCCTACCCCTTTGTTCTCGCCGTTAAGTCCCCACTGGCTGACCACCATGCATGGGGCAACTTTATACTTCCGAACACACAGGTTGACACTTACAAGGTTCCGTGCTGAGGCACGACTTTGCTCCATCTGTGATGGCGAAACTGTAAACCGTCGCGTGAACGGCCTTGGCAGGTGCTGAATGTATTCGCATTGGTGGCTGCATGACGGTGATGTGAGCCCTCCAGTCTCCTTACCGGCGTACCTCGCGGGTTTGGGTGAAGGGACCTGATGCGTGCCGATGCGCAGGCCAGTGCTAAAGTGGCGTAGCCTTGTGCGAGATGCCTGGACTGGGAGGTCCCTCGGTGTCATTAAAACCCTGTGGCGTTAAGGGTTTGATAACTCGCCGTGGACTTTCCCCGATGAATCGGTAGCTGCTGCTACTCTCGGCCCCCCTCTGACCGTGCACGGGCACCTCTGAGGGTGGGCCCTTGTGCGCCAGGTAATCGGTAGCTGATGCTACTCTCGTCCCCCCCTCTGGCCGTGCGCGGGCACCTTCGAGGGTGGGCACTTGTGCGCCAGGTTGACTGGTGAACTCTGTGCTCGGAGCTACTCCATTGGCTGACCACCATGGAGTGCCCTGGGCCGGTCTTGCCTTGATTGTTCTTGCTGTTAAGTCCCCACTGGCTGACCACCATGGGGCATTTGCACATCTTTCATCCCCCCTAGGGAGTCAGACTTGCAACATCCTTTCGCCATTGAGTGTCGGTTGTCTGTTCTTGACAACGAGTACGTGATCCGAACCTCTTCTGATGACCTCGGTTTGAATAACCGCTGTCGCACCAATGGCTACATGATGGTGGTTTTGAGAATCTGGCAATGTCGCAATTTGCGATTCCCCCACAAGCTCCGTGCTTCCTTGTGAACCGTGACTTCATTGGCGACCTCGAGTACTGAGTCCGTGGGGTATCTAGTAGTTTAGCGCGATTGCTTTGTTTCTTCGGTGTCTGTTCTTTGGTGGTTTCGTGTTGTGTCTGGCGGGTTGTGTGCGCTGACTCTGTCTCACCCTTTTCGTCGAGCCCAACAAGACCGGCCTACTGTGCTACTGATGTAGTAAAGAGGCACCAGAGGAAAAAAAAAAAACCTCGGACGTGAGTGTTGACCATCTCTTGTGGACGGTGACACCCCCTTGTCGTACAACGGCGTCATGCCAATTGGGAGAGACCAGCTAGGGGATGCTGCTTCTGGGCTGTGGACATTTTACGCGGAGATCAGGTTTCCACTTCCCTGGCAATGTGCCATCGAGCACCTGTGGACAACCTGGCCTTCACGAGAGCCATTCTCGCCTGTGCTTGGGTTGCTGCGGGGTTCCCTGCCTGCTTGGGTATATGTCTCTGCTTGCGTCAAAGCAGCCATACATGACTACCTCCCCATCGGTAGGTGGCCAAGCGTGATGTGAGCCCTCACATCTCCTCGCCGACTTCTGTCGGTTTGGGCATGGAGGGTCTGATTCTGGTTATTGAACCCTCAACCCTCACCGACCAAACCACTTGGGTTCCCCCAACGGGATTGTCCCTCTGTTTGAACTAGGGCGGGCTGGGATGGGGGAAAACTTGTGCTTTGAAAAGTCCTTTGAAAGTTGCTTCTCGCTTCGGATTCTTCAGATGCGCACAAGATGGTTTTTGCAGCATGCATTGACTTGTGAAATGTCAGGCCTCGTTGCCTTTGTGGCGCAAGCATAAAAATTTTGTTAGTGAGGGGGAGGGGACCTGCGGCTCATGGACTGTTGGGAATTGCTGGGCTGATGTGAGCTCTTTTCCGACATGTCTAATTGGGCTGGACTGCAGAAGATTGATGATGGTCTTTTTGCTGCTGTTACTGACACGTACAAGAATCTTTTGCAGTTTGATGGTTCCTTCGAAGATGAAGCTGGGGCTAGATCTACTGTGGAGGAATTTCTTGCTGGAAAGAGGACAGCAGGCGATATCGAAAACATTTCAAAGGAGCTCTGGGCATGGAGGCAGTCGCGCTTGAAGAGGAGGCCGTCCGAGGTAGTGCTTTTGCAGAGACGCTTACCTGAGTTCGCTGCTAGTGTTCCACGCTCCCAGAAGGATATCACTGCGGTTTTTGAAGAGGCAGTCAACACCACCCCTGCTGTTGCGCTGTCCCTGCTGAAGCGTGCAATCAGAGCAGCTAGGGCCCATGGGGACAAAGAGGAGGTAGAGAACAAGTTGCGTGAGAAGTGGGCCCTCGAGCTTGTCGCCATTATACAGGAGGCAGAGCTGCCTGCCGCAGAGCGGATTGCTGCATTGGGCAACGACAATCATTTCTGGTTAAGAGCTTTTGGACGACGTAGGGGAAAAACGCTGCGAAATCGTGCGAGAGCTTGGAAGCCGGTTAGGGCTTGGTTGCAGGGCTCATTGGGAATTTCTTGGCCTGTGGATGTTGGAGTGATCTTGAGATATCTTGAGGAGAGAGATGAGATTCACAGGATGGGAAAGAGTGTTCCCAAATCTATCCTGGCAAGCCTTTCACTCTTGGAAGGCGTTGGGATGGTACCGGCTGGCAAACGCCTTAGCGAGGACCCCTTGCTGCTTGAGAGCATCAAGTCTTGGACAGCCGAGCTGGAAGTCGATCAGGCTGCCTGTTTCAGTCGTGCTAATATGCGAGCTGGTGGTTTGCAGGCCTTTGTACCCACCTGGGTTGCGATTCATGGCTTTCATTTTGCTGGTCATGGTATGGGCAAGCCTGCGCGCAGATGATATGCAAAACGTCAATCCAGCCAGTGTGAAGCTGAGCCAGGTCGGACTGAGGTTCATCCTTAGGAAGACGAAGACGAGTGGACCTGGGCGCAAGGTTGGTGAGCTGCATGGGTTCATTTCTCGGGTCGTGGGACTCAGTGGCTTTGACTGGCTCGGGGAAGGTTTCAAGCTGCTGACTTCTGAACGATTTTCATGGGCGCGAGATTTTCTATGCCCTTGCTTTACAAATGAGTCGGATGAGCCAAAGAGAGAATACATGGACGCGGAGGGCCTCGCCTTGCAGTTGAGGCGTTTGCTGAAAGAGTTGCCTACACCGGTGAGGCAAATGGGAACCTGGAAGGTGAAACGAGAGCTGCTGCTGCCTGGCGACGTCGCAAACTTTTGGACAGGGCACAGTCCTCGTCACTTCGTGGTGAGCATTGCAGCCGCCATCGGGATATCAAAGGACCGGCGTGACTATCTGGGGCGATGGGCGTGTGCTCAACATGGGTCACAGGATTACGTCCTCACTTCGCGTCAGGTGGTCCAGGCGATCCAGACCACTGTTTGCAAGACACTGCTATTGGGGGGCGATGGAGGCGGTTACATTGAGGAGGAGCTGCTTTGCACTTTAAGGAGTTTTGCTGATGACCTTGGATTGAATGGCGAGGAGATCGTCGGCGCAAATACGGTGATGCAATGGGATGGACACAAACAGACCTGGTTGCTGGGGGGACAATATCCTGCTTTTGCGGTGAACCCGGAGAGGGTTCCGATTGCCGAAGGGGAGCTCGAGGCGAAGCTCCCTGGAGAATATGAGGCTTTTGAAGCAGAGCCGGACGAGGACGAGGCGCCGTACTTCTTGACTGTCTCTCGGAGAGGGTTCAGACGTTTGCATCTTTCCAAGCGTTGTGCAGTCCGGAGAGAGAGGTGCCTCGAGACCATTCCAGTTTTCCACCTTGGAGAGGGCATTGCTGATGCGATGTGTAAGCTGTGCAAGCCGCGGGTGGAGATAGGCGAAGAGTCTTCAACTAGTGGCTCGGAGGACACTGTTGAGGGTGAGCAGGAGGCTCTTGAGCCAGAGCCTTTCGGTGGAGGCCTTGGGCTCGGGCCCTTGGCTGGAGGCTTGGGGCATGATCAGGATCTCTGATTTGCACCTTGGGCTGGAGGCGCCTGACTCTTGGATTCTTGGTAGGAAACTCTGCAGGAGGCAGCAGAGCGCAGTGCTCGATTGGAGCAAGACGTGCCGGAAGGAGAGCACGCATTAAAGAGTGAGATTGCTGGGGAGGGGACAGCATCTAGACGAGCTTGTAGTGCCTGACCTCCTGCAACGGGGTTGCGATCACTGTTGGAGGTGCACTTGTGAGGTTCGTACGCAGATTGATGGCTCGAATTTTCGGGATTTTCTGCTTCTTCCATAGGTCCACTGTGCATGTGCTGAGGTGCGGGGACGCTGTGCTGAGAAGCACCTGGTGCAATGGCCGGAGCGGCGCCGGCTCCTGGGCCAGCAGAGTTGCCAACAGGGGTCACCCAGGACCAAGCCCTTGATTTTCTTGATAAGCAGGTAAGTTCTGATCTGGTGCATATTTTCCAAGAATGCGGAATGCCTTTGGGATTGCAGTATCGATTGGGACAAAACTTCAAATCAGTGAAGCGATTCTCGACATACGCTGACAGGGGCGAAGTGCGCACTGCTTTGAAAGATGATCACCAGTTGGAGGCCACGGACCAGGCGAGCAGAGCTGTCGTTGCAGCTGTAGTTTCAGCCTGGGAGACATCGCGCGAGGTCGCCAGCAAGGAAACGGAGTTGAGGGCAGAGGCGCGCATGCTGGGCGTCAGCAGACCAGTGACGCAGACTGAGAAGCAGGCTATGAGGGTTGCGTATGAGGCAGCCCACGGGACGCTCGAGGAGGCATTCGAGCCTTCCGACGACTACATCTCTGCAAAGCTTGAGGAGGTCGAGAGTGGCGAGATCACCGCTAGTGCCCTTTCTGAAGTGACATCCAAGAAGAAGGTGAAGACCATGGGGATACAGACGACAGTGGATACTGGAGGTCATGTCAGGATCGTCAAACAGAAGAACAAAGGGGTAATGCCCTCACATACAGAAGAGCTGAGAACGGTGCTGAGAGTTGAGGGCAATATGTGGACATTTTTGGCATCCAAGTACAAGAACAAGATCTTTTTCCAAGGCATGGGGCCAGATGCTTGGCTGGGATATGCAAACTACTTGCTTGGAGAACGGGTGTACTTGCTGCAGGTCCCGGTCACCGGGAAGGGCGGGAAGATGGATCAAATCCCACTGAAACCGCCATGGGTGGTGATCCTCAACTATGAATACGAGTTGAGGAAAGAAGCGATTAAGAGAGCCTTTCGTGATTCCCGCCCCTTGCGCGAGACCCTTCGGGAGGTGACAGATGATGCACAGTTGAAAGAACAGTATTTCACAGCTCCCATAGCGCTGCAAAACAGAGGAAAGCGTGGCAGTGATCAATGGGATGGCCAGCGCGATGATGGAAAATGGCACCGGGACACCTGGCGAAAAGGAGCTGGCTGGGGCAAAGGCACACCGCGCAAAGGAGATGACAAAGGACGTGGTGATCAAAAGGGCAAGGACAAGAAAGGAAAGGACCCAAAGGGTCCTGGCAAAGGGAAGCGTGAGAGCGTCACCACCACTCGAACGCCAGACGGGAGGTGGATCTGCTTTGACTACTCCGGGCCAGGATGTGATGGAAACTGCGGCATGGTACACTGCTGCATGGTCAAAGGATGCCACGGGCCACATCCTACGTGGCAACATTGGCAACAGCATCACTCTGGCAAGACAACGGATGCTCCGAAGCACTGACTCAGGGTCTTGGTGGGTTTCGGCAGTCACGGCGCAAACGAGCAGATGCATGTGTGTTTTCAGAATGCAGCACAGAGGACAGGGAGCGAGCTTAAGGTTGGCTTCCTGCTTGATTGCGATGATGATGCATGGTTTAAACCAGAGGCATGGGATCGCATTTTCACCGAGATTCATGAACATTCATGGGATATTGTTTTGCTTTCGCCGCCTTGCAAGACGTTCAGTCGTGCAAGAGAGCACCGCAGGACAGGGCGGCATGGGCCTGGTCCTTCCAGGTCGCACACTTATCCTTTTGGTTTTCCTTGGTTGGCAGAGAGGTCGCGTGCTGCTGTTGATCGAGAAAATTTTTACTTGCGGCAGTCTTTCAACGTAATCAAAGCGGCAATCAAATCGGGCATGGGTTGGCTACTCGTCCACCCAGAAGATCTGGGTGCTTTACATTCGGGTCAAAGGCCAGCTAGCATTTGGCAACTTGATGAGCTTCGTGCATTTGTGGAAGGTGATGAACATGCGGCAACATGGGCAGTACACATGTGCACTTTCGGGGGCGATCTCCCTCACCCCACGAGGCTGGCAACCAATTTAGCAGGCCCTGAGGCGCAGCTCAGATGGCCGCAGTTCGATGCAACAGGGTCCTATGTAGGGCCAATTGGCCGGTGCGAGCATTTGCATCATGGTGGCGCCGGCATAGCGCACGATGGAAGTTGGAAGACGGACACACCTCTTCCGTTGGCCTTCTGTGAACATGTGGTGCAGATGGCATGTGATTGGCAGTTGTCTGGGCGCGCTACAGACGACGTCGGCCATCCGGCTGAACAGTTCGCCACATGCTTGCTAGAGCAGTCCGATTCGCGTAAGCTTGGGAAACATGATGGAGAAGCTCTGGCCCGCCTGCTCGAATACGAAGCACCGCATCCGGCAGCAGTGGCAGATGCGGCCCCGGAGCAAAGTGGCGGCAAGGCCTTCTTCGGCGGAGCCTACACTAAGGGTGGCGTCACGGGTTTGCGCCGTTCTTGCCGGCTGTTCCCTCAGTCCCTTAAGTGCCTCACCTTGCTCCTGCGTGATGCCTTCCCCAACAAGCCCTTTAGTTCTCTTGTGGTGTTCAATAACGTCAAGAGTACTATGCACAAAGACGTGCACAACGCGCCTTATCCAAACTTGCTTCTTGCATTGACCACTTTCCAAGATGGGCAGGTTTGGATGGAAAGCAGCCACGGTCATGTCGTGCGCATGGTTCGCGGCATCCCGCGCAAAGGCGTTCTTCTCCCAGTGGCCCAGGCTCCGCAGGAGCTCCAGGCTCACAACTGCTTCCATCAAACCGAGGCGTGGACTGGTGATCGAGTTCTCTTAGTTGGATTCACAGTCACCCGCCTTCACTCGCTGTCACCGCCCATGCGTGATAACCTCCTCTCTTTGGGCTTCGTCCTTCCCCCATCTGCTCACCTGCCACAGCAAGGGGGGGAGGGGCTCGCTGATCGGGAGGCCGAAGCGGTGCCGGCGATGGCATTAAAGCAACATGAACTCCACGCTACTAACACCCCTTCAGGAGGGACCATCCTGGAGGCACCTGATCCTGGCTCTAGCACCCCTTCAGGAGGGACCATCCTGGAGGCCCCGGGCCCCGTCCTTGGCACCCCTTCAGGAGGGACCATCCTGGAGGCACCTGGTTTGGCTTCCTCGTCTAGGGACCCTTCGGTTTGCACCCCTACAGGAGGAACCCTTCTGGAGGCCCCGCATAGCACCCCAACAGGAGAGACCATCCTGCTGGCACCTGAGGCTCCCCTTTCCGACCAACCCGATGGCGAGGACGTTGGTGACCCCCAAGAGTTTGACCCACGCACATCCCGTTGCAGTGGGCCGGCCTTGCGTTGTCGGCACACACAGGTCCGGCGTGAACTTGTGGATGGATTTGGCTTGTGCTCCCCGGGAGGTGGCGACCGAAGTCACGTGGGGCATTAGCTTCCGACATCGAGCACAGCCATTCACTTAGCATACGCAGGATTCTTGTCAGTGCGCTGCGGGAGGCCATCCCCGACAGGAAGAAAGCTGCCTTCCTGCTTGCCACGGGGAAGATGGAGAGCTCACCATTTTCACGTAGCACCATCGCTAAGGTCAGGGAACGGATTGCTGCTTTGTTGCCAGACCCTGAGCAGGCAATGCAGATTCCCCAGTCGCTCCGGGTGTTTGGGGATCCTGACTATGCAATCCTGGACCAAGGGAAGGACTCGTTTGCAGAAGGGGTGCCCCTTGGTTGGGATAAGCCCATCGGCAGGGCTCCTCAGGTGTTCCCGAAGAGGACGCACTTCCGGAAGCTTGACGAGACCGAGTTTGATCCCTCCATGGTGAACTACCGGTCAGCCGAACTAAATGCTGAACAGTTGGAAGAGAAGTTTCGTCAAGACGAACGGGAAGGCCTGATGATCTGCACCACGGAAGCTGAGGCTAAGAAGAAATATGGAGAGGACGCTGTGCTGATCGCTGCGATGGGAGCAGTGACCAAAGCTAATGGTGATGTGCGGCCGCTACATGACGGCACCCATGGCATCAACCTAAACAACCGGATCGTGATCACAGACAAACTGCAGGTTCCTGGACCAGAAGACCTTCAAGAGGTGGCAGCACGCGTCAAGGAGAGCAAGGAGGCTCCTTTTTCCCTATGCGCCGACATCAGCCAGGCGCACCGACGCGTAAAGGTGCGGGAGGCCGATTGGCCACGCTTGTCGTGCAAGGCATCCTCGCAATCGCGCGTGCTTTGGCTAAATTGCGTTGGAACGTTTGGGGTCAGCTCTGCCGCATACTACTGGTCGCGCCTTTTCGGAGCCGTTGGACGGTGGACTTTCCGGGTCCTTTCCTTGGACCAATTCTACATGTTGATCTACGTGGATGATCTTCACGTCGTGGTGTTTGGCTGCGATAAGTACGATACCCTATGGCTGCTTTTCTTGGCCCTTGAAGTGATGGGGACTCCTTTCTCTTTTCACAAGTTCAAAGGGGGAGTGGAAGTGGACTACATTGGATATCACCTCAGCTACTTCACGTGGGCAGCTGGCATTTCGGAGAAGCGGGCATCCTGGATCATTGAATGGATCGATCGAGTGGAAGCCGACGGGTGGATGGTGTCTGGCAGGCGGCTGGTGGAGTTCACCGGACGTCTCAACTTTGTGACACGCATGATCACTTGGTTGAAACCTTTCCTGGCACCATTGTTTGCTTGGAACGGGGTGCTCAGCCGCAGCACAGTGGCGCGCCTACCCGAGATGGTGATGCTAGTCCTTCGATTTTTCCGCCACCAATTTTCATCAGGAGCTCGACTTGATTCTGTGCACATGACCTGGCCAGCGCAACAGAGGCAGGCATTTCGGACTGATGCTAAGTGCGAAAGGGGGCGCATTGTGTTGGGGGGCTGGTCCTTAGATCATGGGGTTGATACTAGGCAAGCGCCGTGGTTTGCTTTGGAGGTTTTCCCTAATGACTTGCCAGCACTCTTCAAACCTGATGGGTCGTCCGAGTGGGCCTCCACGGCCGCGGAGCTGCTCGGCTCATATGTCGGGCTTCATGCATTCGGGCATTTGAAGAAATCTGCCGGGCGGGACTCCTTGAAGATGCAGGTGTGCGGTGGAACTGACAACAAAGCCACCCCGGCCATCGCTGCAAAGGGTTTATCTAACAAGTGGCCCGTGCAAGGGATCCACATGCAGTTGTCGGTTGCCCTTCGTGAAGCTAATAAGGTTTGCAAGCTTGCCTGGAGGCCACGGGAAGAAAATCAGGATGCCGACGATTTGACTAACTTGAAGACGGAAAACTTTGTTCCTTCAAAAAGGGTGACAGTTGCGTTGAAAGATTTGCCAATGGGATTGTTTCACGAGTTGCATGAGCACTACGAATCCTTCAGGGATGAACGAGCAGCCATGTCGGCTGCTAAGAAAATTGAGCCTAAGGCCACTAAGAGGCAGAAGTTGCTTGACAAAACGGAATGGTAGGTTTGGGTTGGGCTCACTGGCGCGGCATGCTCTGCTAAAGGGGGGACGCCTGGAGTATGCCACGCCCGTGGCTGGCTGTATGTGCCACCAGGCACACCTTCTTGTGCAAGGCCTGTAGGCTGCATGCTGCATCGGTGGGACCCAACACACGCCTTGGAAAAAGTGACGTCCGTTTCGGAGTGCGCATGTTACACTTGTTGCAAGGGTTATGTCATGCCATGCTTTTCCTTATGAACCCAAGACCCCTTGGCCTTCTGGTTCAAACTTTGGGACAAACCACTTGGGTTCCCCCAACGGGATTGTCCCTCTGTTTGAACTAGGGCGGGCTGGGATGGGGGAAAACTTGTGCTTTGAAAAGTCCTTTGAAAGTTGCTTCTCGCTTCGGATTCTTCAGATGCGCACAAGATGGTTTTTGCAGCATGCATTGACTTGTGAAATGTCAGGCCTCGTTGCCTTTGTGGCGCAAGCATAAAAATTTTGTTACCCACCCTCTCCGCCCTGAGAGCACAAGGCGCAAGTGCCGGTCTGTAACACTTGAGCAGTGGAAGGATGCCTGACTGTGCCACACCTGTGGCTTGGGACGCCTGGAGTATGCCACGCCCGTGGCTGGCTGTATGTGCCACCAGGCACACCTTCTTGTGCAAGGCCTGTAGGCTGCATGCTGCATCGGTGGGACCCAACACACTCGAGCACCTGTGGACAACCTGGCCTTCACGAGAGCCATTCTCGCCTGTGCTTGGGTTGCTGCGCGGTTCCCTGCCTGCTTGGGTATATGTCTCTGCTTGCGTCAAAGCAGCCATACATGACTACCTCCCCATCGGTAGGTGGCCAAGCGTGATGTGAGCCCTCACATCTCCTCGCCGACTTCTGTCGGTTTGGGCATGGAGGGTCTGATTCTGGTTATTGAACCCTCAACCCTCACCGACCAAGGAGATAGTTGCTTGGCCTTGAGTGCGAAGTTTCGACTGGGGGACTCTCCCGCAGGAAGGGGGCAGGTGGGGTCCCCGCCTTGGGTTCACCTGATGGCTCTGATTGGAACGAAGCAGTCATGCCTGCACCGTACCCTTTTGGCTCAAGCCCCTTTGGCTCAAGCCCTTTGGCTCAAGGCCGCATTGCTCGAGGTGGTTAAGCCACCAGGGACGCCGTAGAAGGGGTGGGAGTCCGTAGCTAAAGGTTTGGCTTTGCTTGGAACCCTACACGTAGGTAGCGGCCCCCTCTGGGACAGCCTGGAGGCGTAGGTGTGCTTGGTGCTGTGTTTGCTGTGTAGCTGGGGCTTCTTAGCATTGCGCAGTTCCTTGTGAGCGCCCGCTTGCAAGAAGAATCCAAAGCTTGGCTTTGGATTTCGCACTGTAAACACTTTGCAAGCTGCATTGGCTCTCCCTTGAGTCTTTGTGGATTGAGCGCTCGAAACTTGCGTCAACTGAGCCCTCAGTTGTCCTGCCACCTTTCTCTAACTAGTTGAGACTGAGAACGCCCGTTCTCTTTCTCTTTGTTTCTCCTTCTTGCTTTACTAGTGAGACTGAGAACGCCCGTTCTCTTTCTCTAACGCTTCTCTTTCTTGCAACTTGCTGAGATTGAGAACGCCCGTTCTCTTTCTCTTACTCTTTACGTTGTGTTCCCTTTCTTTATTAAAGTTGGGAGCGCCCGTCTCCTTCCTTGTCAAGTTGCTGAGTGTGAACGCACGTTCTCTTTCTTGCAAACTTCTTAAGGGTGGGAGCTTCTTTACTCTATTTGCACCTTTTGGCAAATTTGTCTTGCGCATTGTGCAGTACGGATAGCTTCGGCGTAAGGTATCTGCACCATGTCGCAAGATCGAATTAGCAACATCGATGGAAGCGCATTTCAGTGTCTTGCCGACTTTATGTTGGGTCATCTCACTGAGTATGATGCTCTCTTTGCCAGAACACCATCAACACATTTGCTGGAGTATCTTAGAGATGGATGCATCGTGTCTACACAAACTATGCAAGAATTGCGCCAAGTGCAGGGCTCAGAGCTCCAATCTATCTTACTCGTCAACCCTAGTAAGAGTTTCCTTCACAATCTAAGGAAGGGTCTTACACAACAGACGAGTATAACGATCGTGAGTAATTTGCACAGCTCACTTTCCATATCAGACATCCCCTGTGTACTCTTCAGGAGTTATGATGAAGATTTCCTTCGTCAAATCCACAGCCTGACGGTTATTGGTGCCATTGAAGTGCAGGGCAAGCGGGAACTTGTATATTTGGTCACTTACATTCCCAGCAGCTACCCTGTCCATCACACTTGCTACTACATTGCCATAACGCCTTCCATGAAGCAAGAAGCCGCCAATACTGAAGTCATTATCGCTGGCACTGTTGGAATATTTGACGAGGAAGTTAAACACCTCAGTCGAGACTTTGGACTGGCTCACATTAGGAAGCCACAGCAACCCATCGTTGCGTTAACTGATCAGGAGAATCGATGTGTTGTTTGCCTCAGAGCGCCTAAGATCAGCATAAGTCAACTTCAAGCTCTAATGCTGAAGGTTGAAGAGATGTATGATAAGGTGCTCAAACAAACTGAAGGCAAATCACAAATTGAGCTCCAGGTCTGGTATCGCTTTGCGCCTCTTGAAGGGATGCCGGGCAATAGTGTCAACTTCGTTGACCTCCCATATGCTATCAACTCTGCCCGAACTAAGGATGAAGCCTTTCAAGTGCATTGCATTCTCAATCAGCACAGGCTTATGAATGCGTTCCACACTGCTCCTGGGAAGTATCTGAGGATCTTTGCGGACCCCTATCAGCTGCAGAAGGCTATCTTGGGTCTTCGGCAAAAGCAGCTTACCATCCCTGACAGCCTCGCGTTGCATGCCGCAAGATTTCACATTTGCAATGTGAAGAACTCACAGGAAATCTTTGCTTGGAAGGTGACTCAACCTTTCAACTCTACAGAGGTTTCTCTGCAGATCACCTTTCACAATTGCACCGGAGACATGCAAGACATTATTCAGGATCTCGAGTACATCAAAATTCCGGTGCAATACAGAGGAATCGTACATGTATTAGCTGGCACTGATGTTGTCATACCTGCTGTCCATGTAACTGCTACTGTCGCCGCTGCCGATGCGCTCACCCAATGTCAATATTTCGACCTTCCTTGTGGAAGAACTGAAGTGCAATTGCTGCAAGAGGTTGTTGATGCCCCAAGATGGAGCAACAAGCCCATTAATCACATTTCCGAGAACCCTAGAGAACATTTTTTGAATTGCCACTCTGGGAGCGATAAGATTGGGCAAGGAAGATTGATCCATGTCAGAGCAAGGGATGAGTATCACCCCTTGTCCAAACAACGAATTGCTAGTACAATTTGGCACAAGGATGACCTTGAAACACATTTCCTGATCATTGACAGACAGGCGCCTTACGTTGTTATGACTGGTAAATGTGAGGATGTTCCCGAACTAGTGAAGCTGCAGAGTATCCAGACATTTCTCAGCCAAAATGAAGCCTTTCAAGGTTGGAGATTGCCAGAAAACCTTCCTAAGGCTTCCCAAGAGGATGAAGACTTTACTGCTGAACTGGGATCTATCCAGTACCTGCTTGTCCGCATTACTGGTAAGACTGAACTAGAAATCCCGCTAGTTCTCAAGAACGGCCAGCATCTCTCTTGTCATCCGGGATCTTCTGCGAGCAACAATGTTCTTGTCTCCCTACATCAGGGCGCGCTTCTATTCCTGCCACGATGTCACTCATGTGATATCATCAAGTTGATAGGGATTAATACTAGCGTCATCTATGCTTTCAACATCCACACTGATGATAGATTTAAGGCTACTGCAGCCAATAAGCCGAGCCAAGCCAGATGTGCCAATCATCAGGATGGGAAGTCAAGCAAGGCTGCCATGGAGCAATCGGATACTGCCCAGTGCCCGACTTTGCTCCATGGAAAGCCTCCTGCTGTTAAAGGTGATGATACGGCTGCCAATATGTTACCGGAAAATCCTGCCTCAGCACAGTTGAGTCAAGAAGGTGGGACTGGCAAAAGAAATATTGAGAGTAGCAAGGAAAAGGTTGAGATTGCTAGAAGACGTAATACAGTCCTAAGGTTCCAGGCGGAAGTCCCGGCCAACGTTCAAGAAGAAGTGCAAAGGCGCATTGCTGGCCTTTATTGCCCTGTTGCTGCTGCCTATCGGGTCATCTCGTGTGCTCAATGGAACAAAGAGCAATGCCAGCATTACGCCCCCTTTCCTAAACAAGCAGCTCTTGTCCTTGCTGCGGTTGGATACAATATACGTGAGGCTGCTCGAGCCAAGCTTGCACACATACTTGGTCTGACCTATCTTCAATTGGCAAGTGCTACACCGTTGGAGCTTCAAAGCTTTACTGAGGTGTATAGTAAGGCCATTTGGGCTATTCCGGCCAAGGAGCAATACACCATGCTTGTCCAGATCCACTGCAAGTGCTCCATGTGCCAGCAACCACAGCCCATTCTTGCTCTGCCGTTGCATTCTGAACAGGACTCCTCTGATCAGATCAGTATCCTCGCTGATCTAGGTCAACATGCTGACCTTGCGATTGCGTGCATGCAGCAAAACTTGAGCCCTCGCAATGACACGTGCAAACTTGCCATTCAAAGACTCCCGTCTTTCTTCTGTCTTCTCACACAGAAGACTCAGAAAAGCTCTTTTGCGCAAGTCTGCAAAAGCGAGGCTGATATCCAAAGCTTTCTTGGCAGTACGGTATCAGTCATGCAACAGGCATATATTGTCGTTGCACTCGTTCTGCATGATCCTAGTGCTAAGCACTACCTAGTGCTACACCATACCAAAGAACAAGCAGGAGACTCAATTCTTCTTTATGACTCAATCTACGGAGTCCGTAAAGAAAATTTGTGGGCACAATTGATTAAGGCTGAGCACTACATTGAAGCCATCTTCATCAGAAGTGTTTGTGTCAATCAGCTTTACCCCGCCACTGCTCTCATTAACTCTTTTAATGAGATTATCCGGCATCATGCTGATCCCAGTGAAA